AGACAGAAATGCTATATATCCCCTGGGCAGGACTCATCTGAGGAGGGCCATTGATTTGGGGGAGCCCTCACCTGATTATGGTCAACAGATTTAGCAAAGCGCAGAATGCCTTTAAATTTAAATTTCAGATAAAACAAGTCGTTTTTTAGTACAAATATGTCCCAAAGACATTCTTCTGCTAATATATGTTCCAATAACATATTTTAATTTTGGGGGTTTTGTTTTTTTGTTTTGAGATAGGGTTTCACTCTGTCACCCAGACCGGAGTGCAGTGGTGCCATCATAGCTCACTACAGCCTTGAACTCCTGGACTTCAGTGATCCTCCTGCCTCAGCGTCCTGAGTAGTTGGGAGTACAGGCACATGCCCCCATACGTGGCTTTATTTTAAATTTTTTTGTGCAGACAGGGTCTCTCTGTGTTGTCCAGGCTAACCTCAAATTCCCGGTTTGAAGCAGTCCTCCTGCCTCACTCTCCCAAAGTGCTGTGTTACCAACTGTGCCCAGAACCAAAGATATACTTGTGCTAACAAATTATGCTTTGTTTCATCTGAAATTCAAATTTAACTAGGCATTGTGAGGGTTCTCTTTGTCTTTTTTTTTTTTTTTTTTTTTTGAGAGTCTCACTCTGTCACCCAGGTTAGATTGCAGTGGTGAGACCTTGGCTCACTGTAACCTCCGCCTCCTGGGTTCAAGTGATTCTCCTGTCTCAGCCTCCTGAGTAGCTGGGATTACAGGCACATGCCACCATGCCCAGCTAATTTTCGTATTTTTAGTAGAGACGGGGTTTCGCCATGTGGTCTGGGCTGCTCTCAAACTCCTGAGCTCAGGTGATCCACCAGAGTGCTGGGATTACAGGCGTGAGCCACCAGGCCTGGCCAGCATTGTTTATTTTTAAAATAGTACCTAATGGAGGAGGGACCCCCCTGTCTTCAGGAAGCCTCCAGCCTGAGGAGAAGACAGGCCAGGGGCAGGTGAGCAGGTGCTTCGGCATGACCAGTCGCTAGGCTCCAGGTCTGGGGAATGGTGAGGGGAGCGTGGTCAGTTCAGAAAGGCTTCCTGGCAGAGAATGAAGGAATGAGGGAGAGAAAAGACAGGGAGGCTGAGGAGGCCAGAGAGAAAGCACAGTCAGGGTCAGTTTGCCAGCTTCCTGGGAAAGCCAAATAGGGGTTCCAGGGCAAGGCAGAGGGGGAGGAAGAGGGTCTCTCCTCTAATTTTGGCATGGTGGTAGAATGATGAGGGAGCGAGGAAGAAGGAAGAGGGAGGAAGGTTGGAGAGTGGGATCTGAAGGTAAAGAGTCACTTGAGGACATGAGAAAGGCGTCTGGATACAAGAATTCAGATAGGACACCCAGTGCCTGGGCTGTCCTGAGTCCCCAGGACCATCCTGGCCTGTGTCATGTACTCACACCTGCCCAGAAACAGTCTGTGACACTCAGCCATCCTTGCTTGTACTCTAAGCCACTGTGTTCGGAAGGACTTGCTAAGGAGGAAGCGCCTTGTCCCCTTGTCCCAGAGCATTCATGTGGCTGGGGAGCCTGGGCCGTTTCCAGATAGAGACCTCTGCCTTCCCCTGGTTCTCGCACATGTGAATGGTTTTGTCAGGCCAATTCCTATGAAGAGTTTAGTCTGGACCAAAAGACCCATAAACCTCTCCCTCTTCCCCAGGCCTCCTAGAGTTGAACCATGCTAGGCACTAGACACCAGTGCAAATACCCACCAAATCCCACCTCCTCCCCACGTGTCAAAATCTAGAACCCAGCCCTCTGCATAGCAAAGCCCCTCAAGACAGCTGGAAGGACTGCCTCGCGTTGAGGAACCAGACTCCGGCTTGTGTGTCTGCGTGTAGTTACCACCCAGGTGTCTGTGCACCCCTTCTCCCTTGCATGTGCACCCATGTGTGTGCCCAGCCCCAGGCTACTATGTCCTGGCAGCTTCAGAGATGGCTGCTTCAGAAGACACACCCTGTGGGCTCGTCTCTCCATCTCTAAGAGGAGTGGGTAGACAGCAGGTCTATGAGGCTTTTCCATTTCTGCCACTGGGGCTCTGGGGTCCAACCAGAAAAACCAGCCCTAAGGGTGGGGTGGCCTAGGAACAGGGAGCTCAGACCACTTTTGAGACCACTCTTCTGGCACTGTTTATTATGGCAGCGGCGGGGGCGGGGGTTCTGTTTTCCTGCCATCTTCTTGGGCCCACAGTCTTTGTGAAGCAGGAGGAAAGTTAGTTGGTGTCAGCCAACCTGGGACAGGCACTCAGGAAGGTTAGACTTCAAGATTCTCATCTGTCACTTTGGCATGAAAGCAGTTTCCACCCCTAGGCCGCCCGTGGAGTCCTGCTGGGAAGTGTCTGAGGTTTCTTACCAACTTTCAGAGAGCAAAGGCTGCCTCTCCTTTTGCTACAGGAGCAGCTAAGCAGATCTCAGTTTAAACACCAGGTGTTTTCAGGTGACCCTAGGTGTATAAACAAAACCCCAGTGAACACATTGCTGTTTAGTTGTTCACTGTTTACAGTCCTTGGCTGCAGTTCAAGTTCCGGCTGGGGGTAATCGGACTATGGTAATGCCTCGTGTAAGGGCCTGGCCCCTTGTTGACACTGGCTGCATAGGCCTGGCTGTGGTGGCTCTGGGAGCAAACCAGTAGGCTGCCAGGTGGCCTGGGGGCCATGTTCCTCCTGGCCCTGGGGAGCCAAGCCTCCCAGTAGATAGGGCTGGAATCTGGTGGGACAGTGCAGGGCTGGGCGTCAGTCTCCACCACTCACTCACTGAGGGACCTTAGGCAAGGCACTGCACTGTCTGGGCCTGGCTTCCTAGTTTATAAAACAAGTGTTAGAAATAGTTGACTCTGTTACTGGATGGCAAGTCTTGAGTGTTTAAAAAAAAAAAAAAAAGAAGAAGAAAGAAATAGTTGACTGTAGGGCTCGTTTCTGCCCTTGCTTGCTTTAATATAAGCATTTCAAAAGTCCTGGCCCACGTGAGGATACTAGAGCCAAGCACAGACTCCTCTAGAGTATGATTTAAAGTTAATGGAGTCCTGGGTTCCTGTCTTAGCTCTGCCACTGGCTTTCTCCGCTCTCTGTGACCTGGAGCCTGTTCCTCAAACCTGAGGCTGCAGTTGCCTCATTTGTAAAGTAGTAATAGGTAAATCTTTGGATTCTTTTTCTGTGAACCAGATACTGTTCTACGTGTTTTCTGTGTATGAACTTGCTGAGTCCTCACAACAGCTGTTTTGTAGGTAGGATTATTACCTCCAGTTTATAGGCAAAGTCAGTAACTTGCCCAAGGTCACACAGCCTAAGTGGAGGTAGCCCGGAAGTTTGACCTCATCGCTCACGCCTTTAACCTTATTGCTGTATTGCAGAGAGAATGCTATCTTCCCTGCATAAAAACAGAGTGCCAGAGCAAATGACTCCCTGAGTAATAGCATAGTGGTGAGGTGTTGTGTTGGTTGAAGGATGCATTCCCATCACAGCACTCCCACTACCACAATGCAGCCTCAGGGAGAACATTTTCTTTCTTTCTTTTTTTAATTTTTAAAATTTTTATTTATTTTTATTTTTTTAATTTTTTAAGTCGGGGTTTCACCATGTCAGGCTGGTCTTGAACTCCCAACCTAAGGTGATCTGCCCACCTTGGCCTCCAAAGTGCTTGGATTACAGGCGTGAACCACCACGTCTGGCCTCTTTCTTTTTTTTAAACAGAGTCTCACTCTGTTGCCCAGGCTGGAGTGCAGTGGTACGATCTCTGCTCACTGCAGCCTCCACCTCCCAGGTTCAAGTGATTCTCCTGCCTCAGCCTCCCGAGTAGCTGGGATTACAGGTGTGTGCCACCATGCCCAGCTAATTTTTTGTATTTTTAATAGAGACGGGGTTTCACCGTATTGGCCAAGCTGGTCTTGAATTAGGGAGGACATTCTTCTAAACCGTCCCAAACAGGATACAGCATGAAACGTAACAGTGCTGTGTAAATCGTGAAACACTCCGTGATCCTATTTATTTTGTGACAGTGCAAACGTCAGTTTGTTCTTTCTGGTAGACATTTTATGAATTAATGAGCGCCCCGTCATTGGGAGACCTGCTAGAACCTTGGCCAGCTGTGCTCCCAGCTGTGCGCGCCCTTGCAGCCCCTCTACCCCATGTGCACGAGGCATCAGGGGCTAACTTGTGTTCCTCTGTGTGTTTTTTTTTTTTTTTTTTTTTTTTTCATCGCTGTTGCCCAGGCTGGAGTGCAGTGGTACGATCTTGGCTCACTGCAGCCTCAAGCAATTCTCCCCCCTCAGCCTCCTGAGTAGCTGGGACTACAGGTGCATGCCACCACGCCCGGCTAATATTTTTTTGTATTTTTAGTAGAGATGGGGTTTCACCATGTTGGCCAGACTGGTCTCGAACTCCTGGCCTCGTGATTTCACCCACCTCAGCCTCCCAAAGTGTTGGGATTACAGGCGTGAGCCACCGCACCCAGCCTGTGTTCTCTGTGTTACGTGTTTGGGCACGGCAGCTCAAACCCTGCTGCTATAAATTTTAGGTATTGACAGTCAAGGAGGCTTGGGGACTGTGCCATAGGTGGAATGGTAGTTGCAGTGATTTGCCTCTGAAGCCCTATCTGCCAAGCTTTTACCAGGGCTCCCCACTACCTTAGAAAGGCAATTGGAAGGCCGAGGGTGGTGGCTCACACCTATTACAATCCCAGCACTTTGGGAGGCCGAGGTGGGTGGATCACCTGAGATCGGGAGTTTGAGACCAGCTAACCAACATGGAAAAACCCTGTCTCTACTAAAAAAATAAAAATTAAAAATAAATAAATAAATAAAATAAAATAAAATAAAAATTAGTCAGGCATGGTGGTGCATGCTTGTAATACTAGCTACTCGGGAGGCTGAGGCATGAGAATTGCTTGAACCTGGGAGGCAGAGGTTGCAGTGAGCCAAGATTATGCTATTGAACCTCTAGCCTGGGCAACAAGAGTGAAACTCCATCTCAAAATGAAAAAAAAGTAAAAAAGGCAATTGGAGCTTTGGGTAATGGGATATCACAGCCAGTGAGGCTTATCTAAGGTATAATAGTTGCTAACTGAAAATTTTACCAATACTCACCATGATGACTTGAAATATAATTGGCATGGGCAGTTTCTGAGTCTCTACAGAGACTGAACCAAAAAAAAAAAAAAAAAAAAGGCAATTGGAGACTTGGCAGGTGAAAAGATGACAGTTAGATGTAGACCTTCTCTGCTTTCCTTTCTCCTCCCCAATCTTTTTCCTTTTTAAAATTGTTATTATAAGGCTGGGCATGGTGGCTCATGCTTGTAATCCCAACACTTTGGGAGGCCAAGACAGGTGGATCACCTGAGGTTGGGAGTTCAAGACCAGGCTAACCAACATGGTGAAACCCTGTCTCTAAAAAAAAAAAAAAAAATTGTTACTGTGAAAGTGATACTTGTGATTTTTTTTTTTTTTTTTTAGACAGGGTCCCACAGGCTAGAATGCAGTGGCATGATCATAGCTCACTGCAGCCTCAACCCCCTCAGGTTCAAGCAAGTCTCCTGCCTAAGCCCTCTGAGTAGCTGGGACTACAGATGCATGCTGCCACACCTAGTGATTTTTTTTTTTAATGTATTTTTTAAAAAATATATTTAAAAATAACTTTTTTTTTTTTTTAAGATGGGGTTTCACCATGTTGGTCAGGCTGGTCTTGAACTCCCAACCTCAGGTGATCTGCCCACCTTGGCCTCCAAAGTGGTTGGATTACAGGCGTGAGCCACCACCCCAACCCCACACCTAGTGAGTTTTTAAGTTATTTATTGAGATGGAGTCTCCCTATGTTGCCCAGACGGGTCTCAAACTCTGGGCTCAAGTGATCCTTCCACCTTGACCTCCCAAAGTGCTGGGATTACAGACACAAGTCACGCACCCAGATATTTTTTAAACCCTTTGGTCGGATGCAGTAGCTCACACCTGTAATCTCAGCACTTTGGGAGGCTGAGAGGGGCAGATCACTTGAGGTCAGGAATTCGAGACCAGCCTGGCCAACATAGCAAAACCCTATCTCTACTAAAAATACAAAAATTAGTTGGGCATGGTGATGCATGCCTGTCATCCCAGCTACTCAAGAGGCTGAGGCAAGAGATTCACTTGAACCTGGGAGATGAGGTGGTAGTGAGCCAAGATCATGCTACTGCACTCCAGCCTGGGCAACAGAGTGAGACTCCATCTCAAAAAACAAAACAAAACAAAAACCACATCTTTTCATCCTGTTAAAAAACAGCACCTCAGCCGGGCATGATGGCTCAAGCCTGTAATCCCAGCACTTTGGGAGGCTGAGGCGGGTGGATCACGAGGTCGAGAGATCGAGACCATCCTGGTCAACATGGTGAAACCCCGTCTCTACTAAAAATACAAAAAATTAGCTGGGCATGGTGGCGTGTGCCTGTAATCCCAGCTACTCAGGAGGCTGAGGCAGGAGAATTGCTTGAACCCAGGAGGCGGAGGTTGCGGTGAGCTGAGATTGCGCCATTGCACTCCAGCCTAGGTAACAAGAGCGAAACTCCGTCTCAAAAAAAAAAAAAAAAAACAGCACCTCATGGTTATTATGACTTAAGTTTCTTCAACTCTGAGTGCCATCGTCACTGAATTTTTATGGTCTTCTTGAATTCTTTACATCTGTCATTACATACTCCCTGTCCCCTCATCTCCACAGTCCTCCTGGAGGCAGCTCCCTCATAGGAGCCTGTGTGCTCTCCCCGACTCCAGGTTCATCCTCACTTTTCCTCCATGCAGATTACCAGTTGACCAGTGCAGAGCTCTCCTCCTTACCAGCCTTCAGTTCGCCTGGGGGGCTTTCACTAGGCAATGTCACCGCCTGGCAGCAGCCACAACAGCCCCAGCAGCCGCAGCAGCCACAGCCTCCACAGCAGCAGCCACCGCAGCCACAGCAGCCACAGCCACAGCAGCCTCAGCAGCCGCAACAGCCACCTCAGCCACAGTCCCACCTGGTCCCTGTATCTCTCAGCAACCTCATGTGAGTCCTGGGGAGACTCCATGTGAATGTGTGGGAAGGGAGAATTGAGGAGCGGAAAGAGGAGGGGCCTCTGGGGAGCTGGGTTCCCTGCAGGGTTCTAGCGGACATCCTGTGAGGATGTGTACTGCACAGTCTGTTAGGCAATAGTGACAGCGCTGGGGTCTCTTGTACATGCCAAGGAGGCTCACCCTGAGCCCCTTCCGTGAGCTAGCCCCAGGGTAGAGGGTGGGAGGTTGGGGGGCCCTGGGTTGCAGAAGATGACACGGGATGGAAAGAGAACTAATATTTCTTATTTCCCTTCTCTTCCCTTCATTCAACCCTCTTCTGATCTCTCTCCATCCAATTGCCTCTCCCCCACACCCCATCCCCCCTATTCCTGTCCTCTGTTCTCTCTCACTTTCTGTCTGGTGTCCTCCTGTCACTTGTTCTGTCACTCACCCCCTCTGTTTCTATCGCTTGTACCCCATTTCCACTGCTTGCCTCCAGCCCGGGCAGCCCCCTGCCCCACGTGGGTGCTGCTCTCACAGTCACCACCCACCCCCACATCAGCATCAAGTCAGAACCGGTGTCCCCAAGCCGTGAGCGCAGCCCTGCGCCTCCCCCTCCAGCTGTGTTCCCAGCTGCCCGCCCTGAGCCTGGCGATGGTCTCAGCAGCCCAGCCGGGGGATCCTATGAGACGGGGGACCGGGATGACGGACGGGGGGACTTCGGGCCCACACTGGGCCTGCTGCGCCCAGCCGCAGAGCCTGAGGCTGAGGGCTCAGCTGTGAAGAGGATGCGGCTCGATACCTGGGTACTGTAGCATCACCTCTCCTGTCTGCCAGTGTCTGCTACACCCAGGGACTGCCCCGCGTGCCCCCAACCTGTTTTGTTTCCCACCCAAGAGGCCCTGTGGCCGGCTAGCCCTTTGCCAGTCCTTCTAGGGCAGCACCAACACCCCTTCACCCCTGCCAAAGGCCCGTCTTCCCCCTCCTTCCAGCATCAGTCCTTCTGCTCGATGACTTCCCCTCCCCCACAGCTGGCCCTGCCACTAGAATCCTGGCCCTATGGGGAAAGGGGAGTGGGGGGTGCACACCCGTAGCCTGGGCCACCCCCTCACACCCCCTTCTCCATCTCCTCTCTTCACAGACATTAAAGTGACGGTTCCCACTCCCCTCCTCTCAGCCTCCCTGATGAAGAGTTGACAATCTCACCGCCCGCCCTTCCCTGCCCCGGGCTCCTCCCGCTCGACCCCCACCTCCTTTCTTGTGCTCCATGTCCTGTTGACGGTTACATTTGTGTATAATTATTATTATATTATTATTATTATTATTATATTTTTTTTAATTTGGATTCTCGCTTTGGAGAGGGGGATGCTCTCATCCCCTCTTTCTGTCCCCCCCACCATTTTCACTGGCTGGGGGGCTCTGTTGTTTGCGGGAAGGGGGGACACTTTGCACGTTGTACACATATGCTGCAGGAAGGGGGTGCGGGGCCCAATAGGCCTTTGGGAAAGGACAGGTGCCGAGCCCTGCATGTGGAGCCCTCCCACCCCATCCCCCAGATAGAGGGAAATAACCAAAAAACTACCAAACAACAAAAAAACCCACGCTATAGACTGAAACCCCAAAGTGGGCTTGACGAGTGGGTTTGTGTCTCAAGGGGAAAGTGAGGCAGAGGTTCTGAAAAGGGTCTCTGTTTCTGGGTTCATGTGGCCATAGGCACATGGAGCAGAATACTGAAGCCTGGCCCCCAAATGCCCTGCACACACGTGCCACACCTGTGCTGATTCTTGTGTGTGCTGCACCCCCAAGGTGTGTGGGTGCTGGCTGAGCTTTGGGCTGGGAAGGCAGCCTGGGGAATCTGAGGCTGGGGACGGGTTCGAGGTGAGGGCCTCTCTGGAAGCACATTTGGAGAGAAAGAGCCATGAGGAGAGGGCTGCGGAGGGCAGAAGGGCTAGGCAGGGGGCAAATCGGGCCCCTCCCTTCCCCAGCTTTTCTCTAAGATATACAGTGCAATAGCTCTCCGCCCCTCGGTTGATGCCAGCCCTGTAGAGCTGGCTGGCCACAATGTGCAGGGAGAATGGGGAAGAGGGTCTTCAGTGAGGTGGCTCGGAGCGAGAGTCGGCCTGGACCTCCCTGGGGTGATCCAGGCCAGAGCTCTCTCATCAGGGCAAGTGTGGTGAGGGGATGTCCTTGGCCTTGCACGCACACTACCTGGGGGAGTGGACACTGGGATGGTCTGTGGGGTGGGAGGTCCGTAGAGGGCCCACCTCCCGCATTCCGCCTCGGGCCCTCTCCCTAGCTTCTCCTGTTAGCTCCTTCTGCTCCTGACCCCACCTCCTTGCTCTTGGTGCCCCCATTGTCTCTCGCTACCTCCTTGTCCCGCCACCTCCAGGCCGCATCCCACCTTCCCTCTTGGCTACTGTAATTGTAAATAGCGACCTTTGGAAAATGTTAGCGGTGTAACAGTCCAGGAAACTGTTTTTTGTTGTTGTTGTTGTATTGATATGAAATGAGATTCTATTTTTGTCAAAGTATATTGTAATAATAATGACTCAAACGGCCCGTACTGTACAGACGAGATTCTTCTGCTGTTGTTCTTGCTCCCCTCCCCTCCTCTGAGTCCGCCCCTCTCTGCTGCTTCCTCAGCGGGGCAGTGGGCAAGGGGCCCGGGGGCAGCCGAAGCACGGAGTCCTGAGACCTCAGGCAGGATCGTTGATTAAACTGGAGGGGGCAGGCCCCCAGCCTGCTCTCTAGGACCGCCCCCCGCCCTAAGGGGCCTGGCCTGGGGTGACGTGGGCAGGCAGACTGCACCACTCCTTCACACAAGCCCAGCTCCTCTGCCCAAGGGGTGCGGTGCTCCCTTGGGGTTTCCTTCCAGTTGGAGAGTAGAGTTAGACAAGGCCCAGTTTTGTTAGCCGACCATCTTTGCCCACCTCTATGGCCCAGCCTCTTGCAGTATTTCCATACTTGATGCAGGGAAGGAGCCAGAGCAGAGGGGCCTGTGAGCACACATGTATCTGTGCTCATGAGGGCATCTGGTATTTATGTGTCTGAGTGTACCTTTGTATTTATGTGTGTGTGTGTGTGTGTGTCTGGTTGCATGGGTGTACCTTTGTATTTATGTGTGTGTCTGGCTGCACGAGCGTGC